AGAGAGAGAGAGAAAAAGAGAGGTGGGGATGGGGGAGTTTATGTATGTATATACATACACACACTGATATATATATGTATATATATATATATACATACACATACATACATATATATACACACATATATAAATGTGGAAGTATAAGCCTATATATATATCTATATACAAATATACATATACATGTATGTATGCATGAATATATGTATATATATATATACATATACATGTATGTATGCATGAATATATGTATATATATATATATGTATATATATATATATATATATATATATATATATATATATATATACATATATGTGTGTATGTGCGCGTAATTTATATATGTATATATAAAATGTACGAGAACACACAAGCACATACGTATATTTACTCTATATGTGTTTGTGTATACAATGCATGTATATGTGTGTGTGCGTGTGTTATGTAAGTATCACACACACACACACACACACACACACACACACACACACACACACACACACACACACATACATACGCGTGTGGTGTGTGTCTGTATATATATATATGTATATATATAAGTATATATATGTATATATGTATGTATGTATATGTATATATACGTATATATGTATATGTTTAAATATATAAATATATATTTTTTCTCTACTCTTATGGACAGACAGAACATGCATTTGTGTGTATGTGCTCTGCCGTGTGTATATGGATAGTCATGTCAGTGACGTATGTAGTAAAGATAAAACACAGAGCTACCCGTACTTTCTCTGTCTCTCACATACACACAAAGAAGTAATAAAAAAAAATGCAATATTAATTAGTTATAATCACAGTATGGAGCTGATACATAATATTTAGTTGATACAGTGATCATAATTGATAATGATACCGAAAAAGTAGAAATGATTATTCGGAAACTGGAGGATAGACAGAGATAGACGATAGAGAAATGGCGCCAGGAGTGTTTGTTTTTTCCTCGAAAATTTGCTCGATACTTATTTTTGTTGTCGCTTTAACAGAATAGAAAACAACTTTGTCTAATGATAGTGCCAAAGCCTTTAACGCGTAGTATGAAAAGCTACTCAAGCATTCCACCTGAATCAATTAACTCTTTTTGTGGAAGGGGAACGAGGCCCATGCAGCGAGTCAGCGTAAAAGTAGTATACTTGTTATCGCAGATGGTGGTGAGGCAAAGGCAGGCGCAGGTCACAGGCCAGATGGTTCAGGTGGCGACGAGGCAGAGGCAAGACAGGGCTAAAGGCCTCTATTGTGAGTGGTGGTAAGGCTGAGGCAAGCATGGGATCCCGCAAGGAGGCGCGTGAAGGCAACAAGTCCCCGAATAAGCAGTGACGCAACATGGGTCTCACAAGCGCCAAGGAGAAAGGACACACTGTAAATAAATGACCTTCCGACCCTATCGCCGGGAGGTGGAGGAGACGGAGGAGGGGTCTGAGGGGGGAGGGAGGGAGGGAGGGAGGGAGGGAGAGAGAGAGAGAGAGAGAGAGAGAGAGAGAGAGAGAGAGAGAGAGAGAGAGAGAGAGAGAGAGAAAGAGAGAGAGAGAGAGAGAGAGAGAGGGGCAAAAGGATAAATACTGAAGATGTTTATACAGGCGGAACAAAATTTTCCATAGTGCCCGTTTCGTGTTTCGTCTATACGTAGTCTGCAGGATTCATGAAACATAGACCCCCCAAAATAATTCCCAGATTACCCAAATCCCGCTGACTCCAGGATCCTTTTCCAGAGGTTCTAGTGCCAAGGATCTATCCAATAAATAGGCACTTTGGACGCTTAGCCTCGGATGTATTGGGCCCCAGAACCCAGCTAACACCCATCTGGCATTATCTCCCGAAGACTTACTCGGCCATAAGACCCACCCATTTTAGCAACCCAGGACCCGCTGGACCCCAGAACCAACCCGACACCAGGACACAAGAGCCACAAAAGGAGAGTCCCGCACGAACTTAGTTCATTTGCGTCTCTTGAAATCACGTTGCATGGCCACCCGCAGTGTCTCTCGCGAGGAGCGTGAAGGGGCCGCTGGGGCATGAGGGCCCCTGGAGATAGTCCCGTCTTACTCATGAGATCGCACTGTATACCTGCTATGTCTTGTTATCAAGTTTGCAGAATTAGAAGAGGATTTGTAGGTCCCAGATTTATGTAAAAGATACTGTGCATTATTAACCGAAGATTCTTGTTTAAACTTCAATGAATTTTTCATGTCACGAACAGTTACAAACTTTGTGAATGAATATTTAGAAGGTTTAGTCATTCATTCTCATCATCGAATTAGCCACACACACACACATTGCTACCTCGAATAAAGGCACCTCGACTATTTCAAGCACACAATTCCACTTTGACACCTTTTCGGAAGTACAGATAAGCCTTGAACAGTAATTTTCACCTTCCCTCCCAAGAAGCACCCACACAGTAATGGTCCGCACTCCCGCCCACAATACCGCCGTAACTGCACTCCATCACCGCCTTATAGACAGAAACACTTAC